ACCCCATTTTAATATTGATGAAAGTTTACTTTTTTGTTTCTACTATTTCCTTAGTTCCGGTATCATTTGGTATCAGAGTCAAATTCAACCCTAGTCACATCCTAGGGTTTACAAGCATCCACTATAAACCAAAACTCTCTTATCTACCACCAAATGTACATTCCACAATCCAAACTTTAACCCCACTAAATTCTTCTTTCCTATTTCTTAATTTCTAGTCATGCCACCCTGATGATCTATGCATGAGCCTACCAGGGCGAGATACGGCGAGAGCATCGTCGTCTTCAGCGAAGGCTTATGGATATTGAAGAGAAAATCCAGTGGAAGATTATCGTCGACCGTGATCTGGAAGGTCGAAGAGAAGAACGAGACAAAATGAAGATGAAGCGAGAAACACAACGTTAGTTTCTACCAACTTACTACCGCCAAAAGTTGTATACTCTAGCTTTCGAAGATAAGAGACCAAATCACCAAGTGACCCTCCTTACTACTATCCAGCGAGGTCAATCCACAAATGTATCACAGCCAGAAAATGTTACAAAATGCCATGGATTTGGGCATATAGAAGCAGAGTGCACAACCAGAGAATTGATCTATTTCATGGAGCATGTCGTTTTAGAGACCTTGGATGAGGAGACCGCAGACACTGAAGAATAGTTCGAACTAAGAACTTTCATCTGATGAAGTCTTTCGCCCAGAGAACTCTCTTATTCATGGATACATCCAATGTTTTTCATCCATATGATCAAAAGGTACATGTGACATTTGATGAGATTATGGTTCCTGCTCTCCTTAAAGATGGGAAGCTTTTTTTGAGACGTACAAAGATCACACGTACCAGAAGATGTCAGAATTTAAAATTTCAGTAGATAATCTTAGTGACGACCAACTGATAGTATACCAGGTAACTACATTTCCAGCCCCCACCTCCAGTGTTCCACATGAAGAGACGAAAGGCCAGTGTGAAGCCATTGTTATTGGAACACAACAGAATGTGTCAGTTTTCCAAAACTTCAAGAATCAAGACCCGAAAGATAATAAGAGCCACCCATCAACCAAGCTCTAGCAAACCCTCAATTTTGTTGAGGGCCAACTTATCATAGATGTGAAGCATATGAAATATTTACTTGTTCAAAAATTGGCTTGGGAGAACATGCATAGTAGTGTACCTTTGGCTCAGATTATGCCAAAACAGAATGGATCTATCGGGGGGTATGGCCGCAAGTGGGAAAAGCTCCTCAGTTGCTTTGGTAGACACGGCAATCGTTAGTGGAATTCAGGAATGACCAGAGAGAACTAGAAGCTTCGACCTATGAAGTCGAAGTTCCCCCATTTCGAGAAGACTGATGTGGGCGCTAAGGCAAGCGCTCAATTACGGGCGCTAAAATAGTGCCCGGTTCAAACGCTTTGAATCGCGGGGCCAGCACACTTAGAGCCGCATAAGCAAGGCAGGGAAATCGCGATTTCGCGTGAGGGTTTGCAAGCAGAAGATCCCGCCCCCACCCCCCAAAAAAAAGGCGGGAGATGGAAATCGCAAAATATGGCGATTCGTAAAGAAGCATCGCCTCCAAGGAAGCTTCTCGAGGCTGCCGCTCTTAAGAGTGCTTTCTGGATACTTCTTGGCCTCCCACTCTTTTCCTTTGTGTAGAAGTATCCTTTAGTAGTCTATAAGTTGTTGTCTATGTGTATGTGGGAGTCAAATTAGTGTTGTGTTTGAGTTTAGTTATAGACTCTCTGTGTGGACCCTTTTTCCTCTTTGTGGTGATATACGAGGAGGTGGTGGTGTTCCGGCTATATTCTCTCTGAGGTAGTGATTGTATCTCTTCTTACCCTTTCCAAACCTCTTCTCCATTCCTCTGCAGCCGAACTCTCCCACCATCATCCTAACACCCAACTATTCCCTCTTTATGCAGATTATCTATCTCGCCTAACAGGCCACTGTCCTCTACTTTCCCGCCGTCCCAACGGCTCTCCCGCTACTCCCAACTGTTGTACCACCTTCCCGACTTGCTACCCCACCTTTCAACCAACCAGCACCACTCTTGAGATATACTCTCGAGTTCTTTGTTTGTGTCGTTCTGTGTTTTGGTGATGTTATTTTCGGTTTATGTGTTGTAACCCTCTTTTCTTATTAATAAAAGTTACTTTTATGTTTTGGACTTTCTTCAGTTCAAGAATTTTATAAAATTGTTTCGATCGAATTTACTACTCATTTCAAATATGTCAGTACTCTAAGAAGAAAAATGCCAGAAATTTCTGTGCGGCCTCAGAGATCAAATGAGATTGACTTTGTAGCCATTTGAAATCAATAATTTCCTAGTGCTACTTAAAAGAGCTACACGAATTGTAAATGAGCAGAACTTTTCCGATTAGCAGTTGCAATCTCAGGTAAGCAAGAGAAAAAGAGTTTGGCATGGTAGAAGAATTCCAAAGCAAGAAAATTAAATTAGAAGATAAATAAAGTGAGTCAAAGTCAGAAAGGTTAGTTTGTGAATAATGTGGAAAAAAGGCATTTTGGGAGTGCTTATTGGGTTCAGGAAAATGCTACAAATGTTAACAGTTGGGGTATCTTCATATGAACTGTCTGCAGGAAAAGAAAAGAGACGACAGATCGCCGACAATTCAAGGACATGGACAACTCCGAAAATTTTTGGAAGGCAAACAGTCAAATAAAACATAATTTTAGGGAAAACCCTTAGCTTAAGCAAACGATGAAATATCATAGTGCAAAAATGAGTAACCAGTGAAGACCAGAGTTTTTTGCATTTACCCTTCAGGAAGTTAAAGATTCGGAAGAAGTGGTTACAGAGTTACCAAGGCAGAACAAACTATTTGCGAACTTGTCAAAATGTGAATTTTAGGTGTGAAATGTTGAATTTTTGGCACATGTTATCAGTGAAAAATGAATCTTAGTATATCCTCAGAAGATGAAAGCAATTGTGGAATAATCTACACCAAAAGATGTTACAGAAGTACGTAATTCTCTTAGTTTTGTTGGATATTACATAAGTTTTCTTAAATGAGTTTCACTGATAGTTATATCGTTTTCTAAGTTGATGAGGAAAAATGTTCAATTTTAGTGAAATGCAAAATGTGAGTACAATTTTCAAGAGTTGAAAAAATATTGACTAATGGTCCAATGTTTGCTATTCCATCAGGAATATAACGGTTCCAAATTTATAGTGACGCGTAATTGCTAGACTTGAGCTGTGTTTTAATGCAAATAAAGGTAATGGCCTATGCATCCTGACAATTGAAGCTGCATTAGAGAAATTATGTGATACATGATCTGGACTTAGCCATTAAGTCTTTGCTCTCAAAAATTGGTGGTATTCCTTGTATGTTGTGAAATGTCATCGACATACTTTGAAGTACATTTTCACCCAAAAAGAACCGAATATGAGGCAGAGGAGATGGCTGGAACTGCTCAAAAGACTAAGATTTGAATATATAGTATTTTGTTGGCCAGCGAATATAGTTGTCAATGCTTTGATCTATAAATTCATAGGTAATATAAGTTGGATTATTACTCAGGAGTTGGAATTGATCAAAGAAATTGATGTCTTCACTTGGAAGTCAAAAGATTAGGTGATATAGGATATTTACATCAGTTAATGGTGCACCTAACTTTGATATATAGAATTAAAGCAGCTCGAAGAGTTAACAGTGAATAACTAAAACTTCTGAAATAACCTCAATCAAGAAAGAAAGTAGTCAGATATGACTGTTGATGAAGATGGTGTAATGAGACGCAAGTTACAGTTATGGATACCTACTTATTCTGGTTTGAGACGGGAAATCCTACATAAAGCTTATCATTTAAGCTACAATTTATTCACGCAACACTAAAATGTACAAGGATTTAAAGTCGCTAATCTGGTGGCGAGGTATGAAGAAGGATTTTGCTGAATATGTTTCTAAATGTCAAGCTTGTCAGATTTTAAAGGCTAGGCATCCCAGACTGCTGTGCCGACGAGATAATATTAGTCAATGGTGTGTTAGGATATGTTTTGATAGTGCTCGTAAAACTTGTGTTTATATGTTAGCATGAAGTAAATGTAAATTTAAAGATTAAACCTTAAAGAGTACAATTAAAGTTAAGGTATATTAAAGTATAAATTTATTGTATTAAGTAAATGTCATGACACATTTATTAGATTATCATAAGATATTTATGGAAATATGAAAGATCAACATGTATAATGCTTTCATTTCCTTGGGTTACTGATGTTTAGAAGTGTCATTGCTTTTGGATTATTTTAGATAACAAATTATGTTACTTTAATTTTTTTTTTTTTTGATTTTTTTTTTTTTGAAATTTAAGCTTTTAAATAAGATGAATACTAGAGGAGCTAATGTGTACAGAAGAAGAGGTCAGCAATCCGAAAGGTAACTTTTATTTGTTAATTAAAATGTTTTATTTAGTGGGATTTTCAAATATTTTTATATATTAAATGGTTCGTGATAGAATTTGAAAGATAGAAAACTTAATTACACCATTCAACTGTTTGTTTTCTCTTTGTTTAATTTCAAGCTCAGGGTTAGGTCATGACAAAATATATCATAAATCTTAGTTACTGGTGAAATATTGTTATTTCCTTGGTCAGTGGAGTTGCTCGCCACTAAATAAACAAGTTGAAGGTGGATTAGATGGAACAAAATGAATTTTTGTTCCTCAAATCATCTAAGCACAAAATGAAACTTGTTCCTTTGTAAAAGCTTGGATTTATTTGGATGTTTTAAGCAGCTTACTCGCTGTGTAGAGATTTTTTTCCAGTTTTTTTTAAGGGCTTTGTTCTGTTTACTTGATTTTCGAACATGCATGCAGGATTCATTTGCAGATTTTCTTGCTAGGGTTGCAGTTAAATAAAGAAATATTTGAGCCCTTGGTGTAAAATAGCTTTGAATTTATATGTTATTTCATTTATAAAAAAAAACAATTGTTTTTCAATGGTCTATAGCCGCGTTATGATTCAAAGTAATCATGTTTAACCTTACAGGTTCTCATATATCTGTCGCTGAAGATGAGATCTTACCCCTTACATGCAAATTGTGCAGCATTTTGGCTTTCATGCCAGGTTGGTGAGATACTTGCATACAGGCTATAAATAAATTACATCAAGCAGATTATTATACTATTCAAATTTGTTCCTCTATTTTCTTTTTCTTTTATCGAATTTGAGCCAACCTGAACATGCCCTGAATTTTAAAATATTCTTCAAGCTTGTATGCTTATATTCTTATCAAGTTCCAGCTTTAATCGAGTTTAACTAGTAATATGTTGGGTTCTAAGAATTTGAACATGTAACCTTGTTCTCTACCATAAAATTATTCATAATGTTTCATGAAAATTGACGCATTCACTTCATTTTCTTTATATATTTTTTTTCAAATGCCAATAATAGCATAGAATCAGAATTTAATCAAGCCATATAGCTATATTCTCGATAGAAATTTGTGTACATTATATCTCAAATGGAATTTTTTATTTTTCAACGTAATGGAAATAAGAAAGTTGATTTAAAGATATAAGATTTCATTTAATAAGCAATTAAATGAACCGAGGGCATTTTTTAGTCTACACACCTTGTTGGTTATCCCATCTCTTTGAAATCATACTGAAAAGCTCAAGAAGCTCAAATAAATTATTTCTTTTAGGTTTTTGTACTTGAAGATATTATTTATATCATATTGGTATGGTTACCAATTAAAATGAGCTGTTGGAGTAACAAATTTGAGATTTTTTTTAAATTTTTTCTATAACGAGTGAAAATGCCTTTTTATAATTAATTCCATTACACTGTTCTAGGATTCCTACAATGTGTCATAGACCACAAACGATGTTAGGTAAGTTGTAGGATTGATTACATGGTGGAAGGATGTATGGCGGGTGAAAATCTGCATGAATGGCAATGGAAAAGCAAAACAAAAGCAGGAAAAGGGCAGGTGGCAGCAGCTTTGAGGGCTATCCAGCTGAAAATAGAGGGCTAAAGGTGAATCGGCGAGGTGCAGATGCCGAGGTAGAGCCATCACCTGTTTCCGGGCAAGCCAGACGCACCACATGCGAATGGAAGAGACTACAACTCTCCAAAGAACATAAATCAGAGAAATATCTATCAAAATACATAAAATCAAGCTAATGATTAAATACCATAATAGCATTTATATAAAGGCCCCTAATTGAAAATAGTATAATTTGAAACTAGAGAAATAGGTAAGAACGAGGAAAGGAAGAAGCAAAGAAAGGAAACCTGTCGAAAAATAATAAGAAAATAAATATAAAATAAAAATTAAACTTATGTTGAAGTTGGACTCCCGTGATCGCATGACCAATAATATGGAATTGCTATATCGCAGGAAGTCATATCCCGCATAACTCTCCCCAAGTAGGAGGGGCTTTCTCATTGCCTCTGAAGATATCCATTCCCTTGTAGTACGGAGAACTACAGCAACATTAGTAAAATTATTGTAATCTTCTAGCAAGTCAAGCTTGTAGGTATTGCCATTAATCTTCTTTACAATTATGAATTGACCGCCAATATTAGGCTTGAGCTTTCCAAATGAATCTATAGGAAATTGGTCCTTCAGTTTGATCCATACCATGTCAACTTCCTTGAAAAGCATGGTCTTCCTGATGTTATTAGCATGTTTTTGATACATCACGTTCTGCTTGCCAATTTTCCTCCTAACCTGCTTGTGTAGGATCTGAATGTCCTTGTCTCAAACTTCAGCATTAGTGCTAAGCCTAATAGCTTCCAGTAATGGGACTAATTCTAAAAGTGTAAGCAGGTTCCGCCCGACACAATCACATAGAGGTTGTGACTTGTGGACTGACTAGTAGAATTAGGATTTCTGTAAGTTTTTGTATTTGTAAAGAGTTGATCTGAGTGTGTATCCCTATAGAACTTTGATTCTCTATAGTGTAAATTTTTTGTGGTGTGGCTTTGTGGTTTCTTCCCATTTTCAAGTTTTTTCACGTAAATCTTGTTGTACTTCTTTGGGATTGTTTTGCTTTGCTTTTGTTTGAAATTTTGTTTCAGATTTTTCAAATTCGCGTTATCCTATTCCGCAATGTGGTTTTGATTTCAAATTGATTGAAGCCCTAAGTTTTATTTCCATCCCAACAGTTTCAAATTTTGGATTTCTCCTATTTTATTTTATCTTCTGAGATGATTGAGCCTTATTTTGTCCTTAAGATTTTTTTCTAGGGAATTGAAATTACCTGATAATTTTTTTTTTTTTCATTTAGTTTGTATGTATCGCAAATGTTTTATAAGTTATCAGTCGATTGTTTTGAGTTATCTTCTTCAGATTGTGCAAAGCTTTTTGTAGTTTCCAAAATAAACATACTTTACTGAGTTGATGGAACAAAGTTTGCTTCTCTCTCGGCAAATACAATGACGGGTTGATTTGTTGACAGACAGCTTGAGATATCGCAAGGAACCAGTCTCAATATAGACAGAATATGGGAATGATGAAAGGTGAGATTCAGCAGACGATGATGATAAAATTGAGACTCAATAGTGCAAGTCAATGATGTTGGGCTTAATAGAAGATGAAGGCCAAGGCACAATGAAAGAGCTCGGTGAAAGCATGAGATAGAAAAGTCTGTGACAATGAAGTTGAAGGCTACAACGCGATGACACTGTGAACTTTGGAAACAACAGGCATAGAGATTGGATGATGGCCAAGACGTCATGGCAAAGAAGAGGGTTGAAGACAATAGGCCTCAATGTTGGTGAAAGGTTGAGATGAGAGAAGTAATGGGCTCGATATCAACGAATGTTCTAAAGGTCAAAAAACTGAAATAGCCTCAGGCTGTGAAACTTTCACATAAAATGAGAATAATTTGAATTCTCATCAATTTAAGTTGAGTTATATACAAAAATATATAGGCTATTCTAGAAGGAAGAAATAGGAAAATAAACAATATTGGAACTTGAAAAAACCCTACAGCTATAATCCCTTAAGGGATTGAAATAAACTTCGTACAAAATGTATATAATAATTTACTGATTAAACATATACAAATTGATTTGTTTCCTAAAACTTTAATTATAACAGCAGTACATTTTGATAGTAAAATAAGAATAATATGGATAAGAACTGTGCAAAAGATTTGTGAAATTAGATTCAACTCCCCAAGAAACAGTCAGTAAGGTTAAATGGAATGGATTTGTAAAGCAAACCTCTTTAATTTTTATAAGGCTAATGATGATTATGATGATCAAGGTTACAAAAAAAAAAGTCTGATTGATGTCATCTTTATCTCAAGGCTCACTGCGCTGAAATTCTTAAAGCTAGACAAAATGATTTTCTTCTTCGATTTTGATGATGAATGCAGAAACATTCAGCTAGATTTTATCTTCCCAAGTGCTGTAGAATGCCATCACAACCAGTTACAATGACATGCACCAAGAGAGATTTTCATTGTCAATCCGGAATGACTTTTGTGATAGATATTGAATTCCATTGTTACTTTCTGAATTTAGCATAATCAGAGCAGATTACTGCCTGCCAGGTGTGTGGACTCTCCATGGTCCAGTGGGACCCTCGGGGGAGTCGATCCAAGACGAGAGCGTCACGTGATTAGGTGGAGGTGAATGTCACGAACAAATAGTCCCACATCGGACAAGAGGAGGGCAC